TGATAGGGAGCAAATGCTCCCGCTATGGTCTAATTCTACCGTATGGAGCTAGTTCTCTTTGATTCACTGACTCCTGTATTACTATTTTCTCAGTCTCCTTTTTCCCCTCCTCCTTCCTCTCTTCCTCCTTTTCTTCTCCTTAGCCACCCTTAATCAGTGCTATTCCCAAGCTTCCCTCTTTGGCCTACAGCTCTTCTTTCTTTAGCTAATGTCACTCGCTTCCATCTTTAAAAATACCACTTCATGTCCTCAGCTTCTAACTCAATATACAGCCTTGTCCATCCTATACTACACATTATGTGGCTCGCAAACTTGAGTGCTTGCTAGAATTACCTGGAGGAGTGTGATTTCTGGAAGGCAGCCGCTGGTTAATTTAACTGGATTTTCTAGGGGTGGTGCCCAGGCACCTGAACTTTTCACACCTTCTCAACTGGTTCTAATGTGCACCAAAGTGTGAGGAGCGGGTGTGGTACACTAGCAAGGGTCTAACAACCAGTGCTCTGCACCGGGCATGTCAGAGATTTCCAGTATTTGCTTGTTTCGCTGGTTTAATATTCCAACCACCGTCAAGTTCAGACTACCGTCTCACTGTCACTCCATTCAAAATCCCTGATACAGACCACCTCCAACATTAGCACTGGAGCTGAGGTACTACTGGGGTACTAGGGTATTGAATTTCCTGGTGAGTGCATCAGCCAGGTAATTGATTGGGATATATATGTCAGTACACGTCCTTACCAAAGACATCTTATATAGATGCCCAGGAGAGAGAGAGGACAAGATAGATGAAAGAAAGAGACAGAGCAAAACAGACACATGAGCTGATCTCCCCTGATAAAACAGCTAGAGACCTAAGAATTTTTCCCATGGTGGTACTGAAGGACTTCCATAGAAGTCATCAGTCCACTTTGAGGGGCTTTTTAGAACCCCTGACCTAGAGAAATAAAACACGCGTTTTTAAATTTCACATAGGCATTTCCTTCATGACCCAGCTCTTGGGAATTTTTCAGCCTTATTTTCTCCATATTTCATCTCATATTTTACATGTCAAATACAGCCAACAATCAAATCTTCACATTTCTATTCTTAAAAATAAAACAACAACTCAGCAATCCCACAGTCTCCAAGAACAGGCTCATGTTACCAGCAAATACACAAAATAAATTTTCTTTCCCATCTCTTCTCGCTCCCTGTTCTGCCTTTACTTGAGGAGTGATTTCAGTGTTCATGCTGCAGACTAAGAATCTCTTGCTTAAAGAATGAATACTTTGTCACATACGTCCAAGTTGCTTTCAGAGGAGATACTTAGAAACATTTGGAGCCTTTTAGAGAGGGACACAGAGAAAGACGTGGGCCTGTGGGGTTTTAGAGCCCCTATTAGCAAAGTCAGAAGCTGACTTAGAAGCTCACTGAGGGTGAGAAAGGAAAGGAGACAGAAGTTGGTTCCTCAAAACTTCAGAAATCTTTGTTCCTGAAGACCCAAAATGATCTGAACCATGAGGATGAGAAGCAATCTCCAGAGGTGAGAGAGAAGTAAAGATAGAAAAGAGATGAGGAAAACCCTAATTTTAACACTGTGCTTTTAAGAAAACTGCAGATTTGGGATACAGTCAAGGTACCCCAAGGTTACAATGCCATCTTCCTTTCCTGCCTGGTACTCCTGAATTCCTAAGAGTCTTCAAGGTACAGTAAGTCTGTAAATTGGACCTATATCTTTTGAAAAGAAGATCTGTGTTTTTCCTCCAATACTGCAGATTCACAAATTCTACAGACCTCCATCCTCTCGGAAATAGCAGTTATTTAGAAAACCACACAATCTTTTTTTTTTTTTTTTTGGTACTGGGGATCAAACTCAGGACCTTCTGCTTTCGAGGCAGGTGGCAGAACCACTGAGCTAAATCCCCGGCAAATAGCAGTTATTTGGGTACCTTATCTCTAAACTTAAAAGACATGGGAATGGTTGCATTCTGGCCTCACCCACTGACTGACAATCAGAATCTGCATCACAGCCCATGGTAGGGCATCTGTGTTTCAGTCACCTCCAAGACCACACGAGAGCCAGAAGCAGGCCTTAATGCTTTGCTCCTTCTCCCCTCCATGCTCCTTTCTGAGTGCGTACTTTCTTCTTCTGCTTATGCACCTCTCTGATGAATCCTAAAAAGATTTTTGGTGAAAGCTGAGAACCTACTCCATGCAGGGTCCATGTGAGGGTCCCGTTTCTCTTTGGACAAACAGCTCTGGACTGTCCGGTGAGCCCAACCCTGCAGCCCTGTGTCTGAGCACATATGCTCTTGTCCTTACTCGTGGCCTATGTAAATGTAGGAGGCGGGAGAGCCACACATGCTAGACAGAAAGAAGAGACTGAATACATATGATGAGGTGCTAAGTTGGAGGACAAAATATCTTACTTTATGAACCAGTCCCAAAAGAAAAGGTTCTGGTTCCAGTTGCACAGCTGGGACGGGGAGAACACCCTTCCTCCGTCCACCTGAACCAGTCCTCCTCCTGATACAGTAGAGATAGAACTCCCAGCCTGCCAGATGTCAGATGGGCTGCGTTTGTGTCCTCAAAAGACAATGGAGGTTAGGAGTAGGAAAGGTTTATGGATAGGTAGCTCCTGAGAGACAGGATGGGTCCTGGAAGTGGGGGGCCCCTGAGACCCTTCATCAGGGGTAATTTATACAGCAAAGTCACAGTGTGGGGGTCCAGGGATTTGGCTCAATGGTTCCACCACCTGCCTTGCAAGCACAAGGTCCTGAGTTCGATCCTCAGTACAAAAAAAAAAAAGTCACAGTGTCAGTACAAAGTGGGTCAAACTGTAATAACCCTATGGGATCACAGGTATAGCCCTTAGCTAATACTGATCCAATAGGGAAGTGGGTCACGTGGCAAGGGTGCATGGGAAGAACAAAGGCATTCTGGGAAGGGATGGTCCACATGCTCTGGTCACCACCTAGGCAACTGGTGCCTCTCTGGACTTCCTGGACTAGGAGACACAATCACAGTATTGTCAGGTATTGTTTATCCCTTAGGGAGGCATGCAGGCCTGGTCAGTGCGTCTTTATCTTGAGGTCTGGCCTCCAATGGCTGCACCTCCAGCCACAGTTTTGGTGCTCTCTCATCTTTTGTACTGACTCTCTCCAGAGCCTGGCCCTGTCTGACTGCCTATTAGTTTCTGTCTAATTTAGCTGCCTATAATACTTCCACTGTCCTCAGAAAAACAGAAATAACAAATGACAAAGACCCAGGGAGCCTGTAAAGCTCCAGGCCTGAACACCTGGTGTTAGAGCTCGAGGCCTGACCTACAGGAACCCTTGCCTGCCTGGAACCTGGACTGCACCTCGCATACTCGTGTGACCATGTCAGAGTGAGGGTGTTGGGTTCCATCGATGACGTTGTCACTTCCAGCCACCTCCAGCTCATCCTTCTTTTTCTTGTGGAAAGCAGGCCCTCCTGAGGCTGGTATCTACATATTCCGTCCCTTCTTTTGGGTGAGGAGAGGAAGGGTGTTGGTTATATGCTCAGCAGGAGGAAGTTTAGAGAAGTTGCTTATTTCTGAAAGAAAAAAAATCTAAATTTAAATGCTCCATCGTACAGTGCTGGTTACAATGATACTTGACTTTTGGCTTTGCTGTCAAATGAGGGGTAAGGCATTACACTTTCAAGGGCTAATTCAGTGGTTTTTTAAAAGATCTTTTTTCCCTTTGCCCCACCCATGAAATTTTAATACTGTACATTTACCGAGTACCCCTTTCTGCAGTATGTGTTTATCCGTGCAATGTATGCACATATAAGCAAGGTGTGTGCCACACTGAAGCAGCTTTTTAAGCCATTGGGAACAGCCACCCTCATTGAGAATACAAGACCAGGACAGGGGAAGGCTGGTTTTGTTGTCATTACTTCTGTTACGCTAGCAAGACAGGAAATTTTCAAAGCCAGGTATAGTGAAAACTGATAAAATTTTAAATGGTACAAAATAACTCTAGAACTGCAAGTTTTTCAAAGAGCACTTAGTAAGGTTAAATCACAGAAGACTAAAGCTATAACACAGAACATAAGCTGAGCCACATTTACACCCAAAGGGTGAAAGGTACAGTGTGTATTTAGAAGCTTTGGTCTGAATAAGCATGAAGATTATGCTAACCTCTCACACACAGCTAGGGCCATAGGTAAAAGCAGGGTGTGAAGAAAGCCAAACCAAGCTGATAGGCAGCCCTGTCACAGACCAGCGGCCCTCTTTGCAGGCTTTATCTGTTTCCCAGGCCCCTCCTGCAGGCATTTCCACAGAGACCTTGGATAAAACAGAAAAGGTCTGTCAGCCTTGTGCAGGGCAGTGGAATAAAAATACAGGGAAAAATGCTGAATAACTTACTGAAACTGGATGGCATTTTATGGCTTTGTAAAGTGCTTCCTAATAGGAAAAAGTAGTCCTAATTTTGTTTATATAGACTCTCATTCAGACTGTCTCCCAACACATTAGAGTTTGACAAAATAGTGCTAATATTAGCAAACCTGAAGATATGTATTGCTTGGTGATAGTACGTATGGCTTTTACATAGGAAAGCAGGCAATCAAATGAAACTCAGAAATTTAGCAAAGCACAGATTGTTTTAAAATTTTGTCACTAAAATCAGAGGAAATAGATCCCCCCCACACCCCGGAATATCAAAGGGTGATTTGGAGGCTGATGCAGGTGAGAAAGGCAGCACTGGGGTCAGAGGCTGGAGGGGGAGGATAGGAGGAGAACTGGCAAATGGCACACAGATAGCTTTGGAACAGGGAGGTGTGAGCCAGAAAGGCATAGGGTAAGTTGAGACCACTCTACTGGAATTGATACAAAGACCAGAAAAGGCAGGCATATTCTAGTAAACTGCTTAGAGAACTTAACACAATATACTCTGGCAAAAGTTCTGCGGTAGTATTTGAGTCAGTCTGTTAAAGTTTACTCGTAGAATTCTCTTATTCCACTGGATACATTGTCTCTAAAATGATCCTTTATTTAAAAGTCCTTTGTGCAGAAAAGGGAACAAAGTAATAATACATGCTACAAGGAAGAGCCTCAGAGACACTGTACTGAGAAAAGCTGGACATAGACACAAGGCGGTTGTTGGATTCTGTTTATGATCCTGGACACTCAGTAGCTCAGGTTCATCAGCTAGCCACTGGCTTAAGTCAAAGGAGGTCATTTATTTTGATAAAATTTTAAAAAAGGAATAATTTATTCAAAGCTCACTCCAAGGAGATAGAGGGGCCTCAAATCACCATCTCCCCATGTGCAGGTGGACAGGGTCTTTTCTAAAAGGGACAGCGGGGAGCGGACCAATCTCCACATCTGCTCCATCACTCCAGTGTCCCAGGCTCCTCCTCCTCTTTCTGTGGGGAAGACACTGTGGCCCCAGCCTCCGGGGTGAGCCTGCTGTTCTGCCGCTGCTCTTGGGCTGAGGAGAGGAGGGAGTGAGGGCTCTGGGCTCAGCAGGAGGAAGCTTGGAGGAGCTGCTCATCTCTAGAAAAAAATCTAACTTTAATGTTCCGTTTTGAGATGCTGGTTGCAGTCACATAAAGCTTCCAGAGTAGGCAAATCTGCAGAAACAGAAAGTAGACCTGTGACTGCCACGCCCAGATCAGTGGGAAATGAGAAGCGAATACTAATAGGTCTGGAGTTTCTGCGACCACACAGGGTACACTTGGATGAATGTGATTGAGCAGAATCCCAAAAAGGTAAGTGGTAAGAGGAGACAAGTACTCCAGGGGAGCAGGCCTGGAGGCCACGGACCCTGGGCTACCATACGGTGGGAGGGGAGGCTGCACTCACCTCACAGCGGCCTCCATGGAGCTTGGTTTCTGCTCATTGTGCAGACAGCTGCCTCGTCTGCTCCCCTGTCTTTGCCATCTGAGTTAGTTACTTTCCTCTCATTGCTGAGACAAAATACCCCACACCCAAAGTTACAGGGGAAGGGGTTTATTTGACTTATAGTTCATAAAGGTTTCAGTCCATAATCAGCTGGCTCCAAGGCTGGGATGGCAATGAGCATCACAGAGGAGAAACAACATGGCACACATCAGGCAGCAAAGGTAACAAGAGAAAGTTAACAGCACCTCCCTGCCCCTTTTATCTTATTCAGACTACTTAAGCCGGGTGGTACTCACACCCTTAATGCTAGTGCTCTTGAACCTCGCACTGCACCATGAATCAATTCCAGCTTCACACACTCTAGGTCCAGCCTATGACCACATGAGGCTTTGGGGGACATCTAGACCCAAACCATGACACCACCTAAGGTCATTAGAGAGACCAACCAGAGTCTTCCAAGATGACGTGCGAGGTCCCACTCAGGTCTGCATCCCCACTGTGTACCTGCCACACCAGAATGCCCATTGCCTCGTGTGTCCTCATGTCTCAGGCAGTTCTCCCTGCTCTCCGTTCCTCCAGCTGTGCCTAGAGCTGATCACCCAGACATGCACGAGCAGCAGAGGATTCGCACACAGCTCTCCACATCCTCCCCAGGCAGCCACCTGTGCCAGTACCACTCCCTCCTCCTTCCATACCTAAATGATTCCTTTATTTCCCTTTTTCTGGTGAATCCATATTTCATATGTGTCATTTAAGTTCCACTGTTAACTTTGAATGAGATTGTTTTATGGTATTTTCTTAAAGGTTTGTTGAGGAATTGCAACACACATCACAATCTCAAATTAATGCTAACGCAATTCCAGTAAAAGATATAATTATATTTTTGTACATCTCCTTCTCCCCATCCTCTGTGCTACTCACACATAGTGCATCTTTACATGTTGTAAACCCCACAGTGCAATTTTATAATTACTGCTGTATTCAATCATATTGTTTTTTAAAGTAGTTAAAAGAAGAAATGAGAAAAATACAGATCTTTTTGTTTGTCCACATATTTATCATTTTAACATGCTTTATTTCTTCATGTGGAATTCAAATTACTGTCTGATACATTTCCTTTCAGCCTTATAAATTTCTTTAATATTGCTACTGCCAACAAGTAATTGCAGTTCTCTCAGTCTTTATCTATAATATCTTTATGTCCCTTTCACTCATTTTAACTTCCATCTTATTTATTGTGTGTGTGTGTACACATATGTGTGCTGGGGATTGAACCGACAGCCTTGTACATGCTCCACATGTACTATATCACAGTGCTGTGCCCCCAGCCCTCACCCTCATTTTGGAAGATATTCTGGCAGTGTGTAGAACTCTTGGTGACAGGTTTTGTCTTTCAGCAAGGCAATATCTTACTCTATTGACTGTTTTGTTGTTGCTGGTGAGAGGTCAGCTGTTAAGCTATTTGATCAGTTGGCTTTCCCTTGCTGCTTTCCAGTTTTTCTCTCTGGCTTCAGCGTCCAATAGTTTGGCAGTTACATATCTCAATGTGGATAATTTTGGGTTTATCTTATTCGGGGTTCGTTGAATTTCTTGTATTTGTCAATTAATAGTTTTGATAAAACTTGTGAATATTTTAGTCATTTGTCCTTCAAATATTTTTATGTATCTTTCTCTACATCCTCTCCTTTTTGATTCATTATAAATGTTTTTATTATCCCACAAATCCCTGAAGCTATATTTATTTTATTTTAATATTGTTTTCATTGTATTTGTCACTTTGAATATCTTCCATTTGTCTACCTTCAAGTTCAGTGATTCTATATTTTGGTATCTCTGATTTTCTGTTAAGGCCTTTTAGCAAATACCTCATTCAGTTTTTATAATTTTCAACTACAGAATTTCCATTCAGTTTTCTATTTTTATATAATTTTCTGTTCCCATAATGGTCCTCATACTTTTCTTTAATTCTTTAAGCACACATTTCTTTTGTTATTCAGTACATTTATAATAGCTTCTTTTAACTCTTTGTATTCTAAATTCAACATCTGAAGACAGAGACAATACCTATTGACTGCCTTGTTCCTTAAATATGTATTACAAGTTCTAGCTTCTTTTCATCTCTCATAATGTTTTGTTGCCTACCAGCCTTTTTAGATAATATGTTGTATCAACTCTGAGTCCTTATTGTTTTCTACCTGAAGCCTTTTATTTCATTTTGATTGGTTAGTAAACTTGCCTAGACTAAATCTATAAAGTAGACCCCTGCCAAATATGCAACAACTACTCTCTCTAAATTCATTCATTATTTTCCTCTTTTTTTGTAATTTTTAAGCCTACTTTCCTAGAGGCCATCCTCTGGGATGTGTTTCATAGCTTCTTCATAGCTTATCACTCAGCAAAAGCTTACATAGACTGTTCTGCAATTACTCAAGCCAATGTATCTGCCATTTACTACTGAGTAACTGAGCAGGGGCCACAGCAAAATGAGATAATGCCTAACTGTACTCGTTTCAGCATTTCCCCGAGCTCTCTCAAAGCCCCCTGTGCTGTGAATAGGCTGTGTCACCTCGGGCCATGTGGCTAACTCAGGCCTTGGCCCTGCACACAAGCCGAGGCTGAGCATGCGTGAGAGTTATGTGCTGTGCAAAAAGTGGAGTTTTCTTGTTTGCTTCTAAGAGAGATTCTGTATAATTTGATTTCTCTTAGAATCTCTTCTCATTGCACTTATTTTCTGGTAGATAATAAGGCTTATTATAAAGAAAGGGCATTTCACAGTGGGAAACCACCAAAAACTGTATCTATTTTAACATACCAGACATGTGCACAAACTAATGTATTTGTTATTACACTTTTATTGTTCTTCTTTGCTAAGGAAAAATAAAGAAATAACCCCTGCAGGCTGTTCAAAGTCACTAAAAGCATTATTTTTTAACAGCCACACTAGACAGAAGTAGCAGGTGAAATCATCTGAAGAAGTTTTACTTCACAGGAAAGTGCAAAGCAAACTATATAGCTGTATCTGATTATTTTCTCATTATTGCACTAAAGAAAAAGAAAAACCAGTATCAATTTACAAAAGATAAACAAATATATTCTCTCTCCCCCCACCCTCTGCTATAAATTTTTGTTTTAGTAAAAATTAACAAAAGTTTAGTCTTCTTTTGTCACCAAATATTCTCTCTTTACCCCTAAGAAACCTGTTTATTTATTCAAAAAGGATGCATCAAATGCCTGCTATGGCCAAGTCACTGGAAAAGTTTAATGCATAGAGTGTATGATCAGTTTTCATCCTAAAGGGCATCAGAGCTGAACCAAGGTGCAAAGCGAGTTCACCTAGCCAAGGGTGCATGTTGTCAGTGCTCTCACAGAGATCTCCCCCTGGAAGGATGGGACAGAGCTCCACAGACAAGGTAACCCGAGGAAATCCTGAACTGTAAACAGGAATTTGCCCTGCATTTAAAGAAGGAATTGGGTGCTTGGGGTACAGGCAAAAGCGTGGAAGTTGGAAAAGTTGTCAGCGCTTCACTAGCTGAAGCACATGATTTGAAAACCGTCTTAAAAAAGAAAGCAGAAAGACCAAAGTGGGATCATATCCCGAAGGACCTTGTTATGTCAGGCCCAGAACCCGGTATCATTCTCCATGTAAGGAAACTTGGTTGGGTCCTGGACTGGCGAGCGATGTCTACAGCATTGAAGATATCTTCTTCACCAACCCAACAAGGCCACAAAGACAGTGAGAAAATAAAGAGAGCCCCTCATTCTGCTCATTCTTAGAAAGCAGGGAAAGGAAAGTAGATTAGCAGACAATGTGAGTCTGGTAGAGCCCTTAAATTACCTTCCTGTAGAAGTTAAAGGGACTTGTTTGAAATTTAATTATCAATTAATCATTCCAGAATTGTCTACTCTCTAAAAACCAGTGTTAGTCAGTACATGTAATAATTTGCACTTTCTTTTTTTTTTTTTTCATTTTATCTATACCTATTTAGTTTAACCTTTGGGTAGGTCATAGCTCCCTTTACTTGACATTTATTCACCTTTTGTAAAGTAATTATTACTAGGAATATACAGCAGCATACTAGTGGCTCCATGTTTATTCATCACACTTGAACAGAAATTGCACTTAAAATCAGAATGATGCATTTAAAGTCTCACTTCTCAATCTAATAGTGTTATTTGGTCATTAGAAAAAAATGATTCTATGAATACACAGTAAAAGGACTATTAACTTAATATTACATTTCACTTAAAGGTTAGTGACGTCTATGCAAAACAGTTGTACCTGCTCATCTTTCCTTGAGAGAAGTCAGATGTGATACAGCATTCTGTGCTCGAGCATTTTCCAGACACTTGGACTTCTAAGGATGTGGGGAAAGATTGTTTAAAATCCCATCTTTAAAAGAACACTGACTCTGATTTTTTAAAACATTTAAAATAATATTCAAATTGCTTTCTGATGAACTACTGTGATTTAAGTAGGGAAAGCCAAACATTTGCACATGAATCTCTACTAGGCATAAGATGTTGGTGCTAGGATGTGAGCATGGCTCTAACATGGTGGAATTACCAAATATCCAACTGCAGAAAGGCTCCTAAAGTCAACCCTTTCTTTCTTGGAGCTGCTACCACTCTGCCAGTTCAAATAAGCAGCCATGTCAGGTCTGCTCCTCTCCCTTAACACAAAGGCACTGTGCCACTTCCTACTGCCTCATGCATAGGTGGGGCTGCCATCTGTGACTGTACAGCTTTACTTCCATTACTCAGGTCAGAGTGGTGATAAGTTACACACTCTGTCTTCGACAGAGAAGTCCTGGCTAGGAAAAAGTGTCTCCTGGACTTAACAACGTCTTGCTGGATGTGATTAAAGTGACCACCCACGTTAAAGTGTGTGCCCTTTAGTTGTGTCTGTTAACAATATTCCACCTGCTCAACAAACTCAATCTGCCACCGCAGAATGAGAATGCCAACTATGCTCAAGTCTAAACTGGAATTGAGGGAGTGACAAGTGAACATTGCAGTTTTTGACATGTTTCAAACATTAGTAGAGATTTTGAAGAGTGTGAGCATTACTTCCTAACCACAAAGACCCCTGAACTGGAAAGAAACGGATCCACAATCCACTTCTGAATAAGCCAGGGGATTTGACTCTGGGCACGCTAGAAGAAGATCAGCCGCTGAGGTCACAAATGACAGTAGCCCTAAAGTGTGTCTGATCCTCATAGTTCTCTGTGTTAAGACAGGGCATCCTGAAACTTTGCTGAAAGGCCTGTTTCTATTTGTAGCATCCTACCTTTGAGAAGCAGGGTTTTCTGCAGTGACAGCAATGAAAATGAGGTTTCAGAGTAGACAGACCATAAGCAGCACACCATGGGTGTCACTGGCCTCAGTCACCCCAGACAGGGCCTGCCAGTTGCAGAAAACCAAGCTCTGGGCTCCCACTGACTCTGATTATGGCGAGTTGTATAACTGCTGTATTATTGTTGCACACAATAAATGTGTAATACACATGAATCATCTGAAACACCCTCCCCCACTTGAAACATTGTCTTCCATGAAATCGCTCCTGGTGCTGAAAAGGCTGGGGACCAGTTGTACAGGATGAAAAAAAAAATGATCAGCCATGAAAGAACATAGAAAAAATTTAAATGCATCTTCCTAAATGAAAGAACCGAATCTTAAAAGGTTACATACTATGATTCTAATTATACAATATTCTAGAAAAACCAAAACAATAGAGGCAATAGAAAGATCAAAAATTGCCAGAAGTAGCAGTTTGACATGAATGAATAGGCAAAATATAGGGAATTTGGGAGGCAGAGAAAAATATCGCATATGATAGTAAAATGATGGCTATATGATATTATGGTTTAAATCTAGATGCCTCCCCAAAGCCTCCTGTGTTCATAGGTGAGCTTTGAGGAGTCCTGTGGACCATGGGTGTGTGAGACTCCTCAGTGGATGAGCTCACTGAAGAAGGTACAACTAAATGTGATTCGGGGGAGGTGGTCACTGGGGGCGTGTCCCGCAAGAGTCGTCTCCCTCCTTCTTCCTTTGACCACTCTCTGCTGCACTGGCAACCATGCCAGGAGCAATTCTCCTCTCCAGGCCCCTCTGATGCCGCCGTGCCTTAGAGCCCTGCCTATGAACTGAAACCTCTACATGCTGAGAGCCACACTTCACCTCTCCTTCCTAGTCCGTATCACACATATGGCCCCGCAATGGAGAAAGTAACGAAGCCAGCTGTTATACATGTTTCAACACCATGGGTGACTGCTAATGTAAACTGTGGGCTTCGGGCATAATGACATATAATGTAGGTGCACCAACTATAATAAATCTACCATCCAGTGTAGTCTGTTGGTAGAAGTGAGGCCGAACGCATGTGAGGACAGAAGCCACGTGAGAACTTTACATTTTCCACTCAGTTTTTCTGTGAACTTAAAATTCTTCTAAAAAATAAAATATGTTTAAAAATTACTAAGTGGGGCTGGGGATTTATCTCAGTGGTTTCACTGCTGGCTGCACAAGCGCAAGGACCCAAGTTTGATCCCCGGTACCAAAGAAAAAAATTACTAACCAAACTGATACATGTATTTGGTGCATGAAAACTAGGTATATGAAATTATTTAGGAAACAATGTTTGACAATGAAGAGCACATAAGAAGCCTGATCTATTTTTTTAAAAAAGTGATTTATCAGCACTGCAATCCACATTGAGACAGAGCTACTTGCAAGATACACAGTTTGAGAGTCACGTGGAACACATGCCGAATCAGCTCGCTGCAGACAGGCAGGTCTGTGCACGCCCTACCGAGGTCCTGAATCTCACAGAACATGCCGAATCAGCCCTCTGCAGACAGGCAGGACTGTGCACGCCCTACCGAGGTCTTGAGTCATGCAGGAACACACGCCAAATCACCCCGCTGCAGACAGGCAGCCACCTGGTTCCACACTACAAAGACTCAGAGGACACCAGACCACCAGACCAAGGTACTGAGTCCCGCAGTTCCCAGCCCAGAGGTAGGGGCTTCTGAGCCATCATCCCACTGCTCCTGGTCCAGAGGAAGGGGCTTCCCAGTCACCATCCCTCCCACTGCTCCCAGCCCAGAGGAAAGGGCTTTTTGGCCACCATCTGTCCTGCTGCTCCTGGCCCAGAGGAAGGGGCTTTCAGGCCACCATCCCTCCCACCACTCCCGGCCCAGAGAGAGGGGCTTCTGAGCCACCATCCCACTGCTCCTGGTCCAGAGGAAGGGGTTTCCCGGCCACCATCCCTCCGGCTGCTCCCAGCCCACAGGAAAGGGCTTTTGGGTCACCATCCCGGCCCCTGTCCCACCTCACCCA